CCCCCCTCTTGTGTTCTCTCTCTCTCTCAAATAAAAAAAAAAAAAAGAGAGAGTTTTAAAGGATAATGAAGAAAATGGAGATACCTATAAATTTTAAGACCACAAAAAAATTGCTGAAAAAGACTTATTTTTCCAATAATTTGAACCCAGGGATGCAACTTCCAGAGATGCCTAATTACACATGTGCAATTCAGCCATGTTATTTGAGTTATTTCAATGCATTTTATGGTAATAAATAAAATACCGCATTTTAAACTGTTTGTCAAAAATTGTCCAAAATAAGCATACTGAAATAAAAATTTTAAGGTTAAAAAAAAAAAACAAAAACATGGAACACATGGACTCAGATGGCCTTCAAGCAAAAGATCTAAGAACCATTCATCTATACCCTGCAACTAGACTGCCTCCAAAATGAATTACACTATGAACTGGAACTCAATATAAACTGCACAGTAATTTTACAAAACATTTCATATGTAGATCAAACAATAGTCTTGACAACACAGAAACTCTTTTATACAATAACCCCCTTAGAATTTACCCTAAGGAAATAATCACAGAGCTACATAAACAGCCATGTACCTGGATATCCGAAGTGGTGCTGCTGTGCCTGATTCAGAAACCACTTAAACACTCAACAACTCTAAGTTAACTATATATGTAATCTTCTGAGAAAGGCTGAATTTACAGTCAAAAATGTAACTGCAAATTCTTAAAAATATATGTAAGATTTTGGAAAACATTCTTTACATAAAATGAAACAAAGATTACAAAAACTGTGCGAGAATGCCAAGTAATAACTATGGAAAGAATGATGCCACTAAAAACCCTCAATGGATGGTACTGTGAGTGAAAGTGTAATAAGGAATACGATATTTACAGAGTCTCAAAATACCTCCTGAAAAAATTAGCTTAATAGTTACAAAGAGAAAAAACTATTTCATTGTGGGGAAACCTGGCAAATGCCACCTTTCCAAATTTTAAAATTACCACTACCAGGGCACCCTGGGTGGCTCAGTCCGTTAAATGTCCAACTCTTGATTTCGGCTCAGATCATGATCTCAGCGTCCTGAGATCCAGCCCTGCATCCAGCTCTTGGCTGGGCATGCAGCCTGCCTGGGATTCTTTCTCTCCCTCTGCCCCTCCCCACCCTACTCACAGACTTGAGAATTCTTGCTCTCTCTAAAAACAAATAAGGTTATAAAAAAAAAAAATAAGGGTGCTTGAGTGGCTCAGTTGGTTAAGCGACTGCCTTCAGCTCAGGTCATGATCCTTGAGTCCTGGGATTGAGCCCCGCATCAGGCTCCCTGCTCAGCAGGGAGTCTGCTTCTCCCTCTTACCCTGCCCCCTCTCATGTGTGCTCTCTCTCTCTCAAAATAAATAAATT